CTTTTTTCATCACTCTTATGGTTTCCCATTCACAAAACACAAAATTGAATGGTTGGGTGCTTTCAGCTTGTATGGTCTCTTTCACACAAACAATAATATTATTCTAAAAGCAAAAGTTAAGTGGAGTCGTGTAGCATGCGATACTATTTGGTTTAGGTCGTAAATCGATGTGATGCTAGTTCTATACGCTTTGATGTCTAAATCGAACGAGAATTTGAGTTCATTTGTAAGAATGTAAGTGTTGTGTAGTTCATCTCCCGTGTGAGGTTGATCTAGAGTTTCAAGCTGCTCCAAATGATTTGCTTCTAAGAACATTCTACGTTCTAATCTCAATTCTATAACATGAACTTCAAAAAAGTTATAAAGAATATTGAACTCAGGCTTCGTTTAGCATTTGTGATATCAGGGTTTCGCCCATTAACACATGTACTCTTTGTTAATAGCTAGCACTTCTTTTAAGTTTACTAGAAGCAAACAAAATGGGACATGTTGGAAGACACTTAGAATACTTTTCTCCAAAATTGGTGCATGATTTGTGGAGTGGTAGCCTTTGAATATGACCAAATATTTAATGGATGCACCACCAACAACACTATGAAGAATATTCGACAATATATACAAAAGATTAATTATACCTACCTTCATGTTTAAATTTTTAGGTCGATATTAATAAGTACTCGTAAGATATGTAATTAAATGCGGGTTTCTATACTTTTGCACCCATCGAGGAGAGGGAGCTTAGACCTGTTAGGTTTGGCTAAAGCGAACGACGCGCTGTTTGTGACTCAGTATGAAGAAGGTGGAACTACACACTTTCGTATTCAAAGCATTGTTTGAGTGAACAGGTAGCACTTATACATAGTGTTCTCAAGGAGACCCATCAACAATGTAGTTGAGAATTAGGCTTCATTATGGCGCTTCTTTAGTTCTAAGTACTGTACGTCTAATTCGGCCCAAATGGGAAAGTAGAGACCAAGACCATGATATTTTATGAAAAGATAGGACGTATCATGATTGCATGTGATTACATTTCCTGACCTCAACAGTGAAGTTACTTACTGAGTATTTTTAAATACTCAATCCACGTGTCACTTCTTTTTCAGGTAAAGGTAAGACACCTTGAGACGGATAACGACATTACTACGAAGGCCATGGAAATGAAGTTGAGATACCTGTATCCATGTTTGGTTTAATAGCCCTTAGGTTAGATCAGTGTGTTGCTTTATTTTATTTTAGAGTCATTATAGTTGCAATGAGCGGTAGAAAATCTTATTTATGTTATGATGATTCACCATGATAACTAACGTACTCATTCCCATAGTTTTTTAAGAACCGATTAACCACGTCGGTCTGAGGTGATGTTTTTGGTTCGAGACTTTTGTACCGAAAACGTTTTCGTCCGAGAATGAACTCCATAAACCCTACCATTTATCCTTGATAAAGTGAGCTATTCTGAAACAGAACTCACTGTACACAAGACATAGGTTGAATTGACTGCCATTTTCAATATCTTTTAATTTCACTGTTTGAGCAATACCTTAGATATCCCATCCTTCTGTCGCCTCAACAAAAGGCATTACCTAGTTTACTCCTTTTTAGTTTAATAATATATACAATTTTTATGTGTTGGATGACTTGACACGAAGCAATTTATGAGCATGACGTGGACAACATTTGTCGGTAGAGTGTTCACGAGTTGTGTTGGTTGGATCGAGAAAAAAATAGAACACATCTAAACGTAAACCTAACTCGTTGGCGGAGTAGCTCAAACATTTTCTTCCATCCCCGTTTATTAGATTTTTTCAAAATCTAGGGTTAGAGCATGCAATAGGATATACTTATATCGGACGAGGAAGCCTTTTTAGAGAGTAATTTTCATTTAACTAAAATGATTTGAATGACTACAATCGCTTTCCAATGACCAGAAATCACTTGATATGAATCAAAAGACATCAACCATACAATATACTTCAACGAAGATGTGAAGAAAAGGTTGTCAAAATTATCAAAAGATGTTTCCATTCATGCACATTGAAGAAAAATGAAGTTTGATTGTTATAAATTTTGGGTGGGTTACAATTTAGAGTAATTTATAATTATTGTATTTCAAGGCATTTTATTTACTTTAGGTTACATTTACATAATGCTAATTATGACCATAAAGTATGAAGGTTACAACTCTTGGAATGCTTTTAATAGTTTCATTTTTTAGGCTATATAAAGTCATGTATGTTGTATTTGTAAGCAGATTTGAAAAATATATAGTAAAATGAGCATTTGTGCTTTGGCTAAGTTTCTTTGCAATTCTATGGAGTTTAAGTTGCATGCAGAATCATTTAAGCTTGACATGATCAATGTTGCATGTGGAGTGGTTTGAATCTCAATCAAGTGTTCTTATCTTGAGATATTTGATCAATAAGAATCATTCAAGGTAGACATGATCGATCTTACTTGTGGAGTGATTCGAATCTCAAACAATGTTTTTGTCTTGAGATATTCGATCAACAAGGTAATCTGAATCTTACTCCCTTGTAGTGATTTCCACATATCATCACTTCTACACCGTTAAGATACGAACGATTTTGGCGATGATAAAAGCAAAATGACTCCCAATCACACCAACGATCATCGTTAAACTAGGACGAGACTAATTTTGTGTGTGGTAGTTAGTTTGTGTGGCCTACAATTTTGTTGGTAGTCCTTCATTCAATAGCAAAAGAGAAAGGTAGGGTTTGGAATTGCATATTTGGGGCAGTGAACACTGATTTAGATATGAAATATAAAAGAGAATTTATAGTACAAATGAGAGTGTTTGTGCAAACATGAAACTTTTTAATGTTTTTTTTTTGTAGTTTTGTTATTGATGTTCAAACGTATGATCATCTTATATTTACTTGGAACTCTCAACCTCACTATAATGGATTGTTTGGGAAGCTGCCAAACAGGATGGGACACTTCACATAAATCCAAATCAAAATGGTGTTATATTCGTTTGACTCGATATGTATAGTCGTCAGCCTCACAATTTTAAAACCAAAAAATTTATAGGGTATGTTTCGTTTCTCTCTCCAACTGATGTGAGGTCTCACAATCTACCCCTTTGGAAACCCTGTTCTCCCTGGCACACCGTTCGATGTCTTGCTCAGATACCATTTGTAATAGTTCAAGTCTATAACAGATATTGTCCGCTTTGCCTCATTACGTATCGTCGTCAGTCTCACGGTTTAAAAACGAAAAAAATTATAAGATATGTTTCAGTTTCCTCTCCAACCGATGTGGGATCTCACAATCCACCCCGTTTAGAGACCCAGCGTCCTCGCTAGCACACCACTCGATGTCTTACTCATATACTATTTGTAACAACCCAAGCTCATCGCTAACAGATATTGTCCACTTTGGCCCGTTACGTATCGCCGTCAACCTCACGGTTTTAAAACATGTTTGCTAGGGAGAGGTGTCCACACCCCTCTAAGGTATGTTTCGTTTTTCTTTTCAATCGATGTGGGATCTCACAATCTACCTCCTTTGGGGACCCAACGTCCTCATTGGCACACTGTCCAATGTCTTGCTCAAATACAATTTGTAACAGCTGAAGCCCGTTGCTAATAGGTATTGTCTAGTTTAGCTCATTACAGAGGTTTCCAAACGCTTATAAGATATGTTTCGTTCTCCTCTCCAATCGATGTTGAATTTTACGTAACTGAGTGTTGTCTAATGGCTTGAGACTTGGAATCTCTCTTTTGGCTATTAGGTTTTTGGGAGCATCTTCCCCATTTCTCAAGAACCCTAAATTTCCTCAAATAAAGTACAGTACTTTATGAAACAGGAAGCAAGGTCTGCCATAAAACAAGCACAAAAATGGAAGAAAGAAAATAAACAAGAAATAAAAGTGAGAAAAGAAGGCATTGAAGAAGAACTCAGAACCCATTTTCTGCTTTACACTTCTCTTTCTTCTTCATGGAATCAAACTTCCAATTTGGTGATGATGAAATGAAGAAGCCAAATATGGGTTTTAAATTGTTTGTTTTAATTTTATCCAAATAGGGAAACAAAATCAGAGAGAATCTTTGTCTTTTGATTTATCCTGGTTGGTCGAATGTGAGTTTGGGGGGATTAATGATTGCATTTGTTGTTACCTTCCAAGATTTGCATTAATTATGAATGTGAGATTTGACACATTTTGTAATGCTTCAGAACATGTCGGCAAATTCAGCTTAAAGTTGAGTACTTCAAATTTAGCTTTGAAGTGAACGAGAAAAAAGCTTTACCAACCTTGAAAATTGAAACAAAGTGGGATTGTGTCGAAAAGAACAAAGAACATTTCAGCCCATGATGTAAATCATACTCTGACCCATTTTTGTATCTTTCCCATTGCATTTTATTGGAGCTTATCGAATGATTTGAACGCTTACGAGAATCTATTGAAGCATGACAATGCTTATCTAGTTTTATTGGCCTAGTTCGACACCTTTCGAGCTTCTACCGACTTAACGGTTGCCTATTGTTCTTTATCTAACTATTACAATGCTTATCGGGACAACTCGGGCAAATATCATGCCAACTAGGAATTATTGAGACCTACTGATGCTTTATGATGCCACCACATGCATCGAGATGTCATATGTGTTTGCAGCTCGCTCGAGACACGTTAATTGTGAACTGATCTATGAGTTTATATTTTAAGCTTCCCAACCTTCAATCCCTCTAAGCACTATTGAGGTAAGAATCGTTTGCGTGTCAAAGCTTGAATCTATAACGCAACCTCCAACTCATCAGAAAGGGCACAATGTCAATGCTTATCAGGGCAACTCGAGCAAGTGTCGTGCCAACTAGGAACTATCGGTCCTATGTTTTATGCCTTTAGAACTCTTTTGGAACACTCTCGTTAACTTTATATTTGAAACTTCCCAAACTTCCATCTTTCCAAGCACCATCGAGACATGAACCATTTTGTGTCCATATTGAGTCATTTCTACACAACCTCAGGGGAAAGGGCACAATGTCGACACACCCGTGTTACCTAACACTGTCATTAAAATTTCATTCCCGAAGTGAAACGTGCAAGACCCTCATCGTGCAATACTTGCCCACTCCCACTTCATGACACATATATGCATCACGAGTGGCTCACTTAGGCCACGAGGCCAAGGAGTGTCAGAGAACCAACATCATGTCTCCACCTACAGTACATTCTAAGACATACTTAATCTAACACCCAGACACGTAAAAATGACACAAACTCATACATCAACGTGGAGTGTCATATGATGTCTGATTGACACCAAATTTTTGTTCGACGAAGAAGCGTACGAATAAACGAGATTCCAACTTTTAGCTTCAGCATCATTCAATCTTCTTTTTACAAACCAAAAAAAAAAAAAAAAAATTAACTATCTCTGCCATTAGAGGATGATGATGAATAGATCAACGAGGAAGCAGAAAAGCTTGTGTTGAGTAAGCTTCTGGTTGACAATTTTGAAGAAGATGATTCAATTCCAACTCCATTGCCATTATTTGAGCTCTTGTTGTTCTTCTCTTGCCCTCCATTTGTAGGGGAGGCCCCACCTTTGAGCAACATATCAACTTTTGCATACTCTTCTCTTTCATGTTTGATTCCTTTCAGCATCGCCTCCACGTCTTTCATCGTCGGTCGCTCGTCCGGTGTCGAGTTTACACACAATAACGCTATGCCTAAAACTTGCATCATCTCCTCTATTTCTGTCTCCGGTCTCGATTGCAAGCTCGGGTCAAGGACTTCGTTCCCTCTCTTTCTTCTCACCCAATCCACTATGTGTAGTCCATCCGGTATCGTTGGGTCGATCGGTTGTTTTCCTGTTAAGACTTCGATTATCACAACACCGTAGCTGTAGACATCACTCTTCTCGGTTATCTTCATCATGTAACCATATTCTGAAACAAACAAAAATTGAAAACTAGATTAGATATGTCTAACTAGTCTCCCTATATGTCTCGAGTGATCGAAAGAAGGTGCTTACTCACCAGGAGCAATGTATCCATAAGAGCCCGCAACTGTGTTGGATGACCTACCGAAATCTCCGTTGTCGATAAGCTTGGCTAGACCAAAATCGGCGATATAGGCCTCGAATTCGAGACCGATGAGAATGTTATTGGCCTTAATGTCCCTATGAACAATTGGAGGGACACAATCATGGTGCAAATAGGCAAGGCCTTGTGCTGCACCAAGTAAGATTTGGTATCTTAGATCCCATTCCAAAGCATTCCCATTTCTCTCATGTAAAAGACTTCCCAAGCTACCATTCGGCATATAATCGTACATTAACAATCTCGTGTTTCGATTCGAACAACATCCCAAGAACCTCACGATGTTCTTGTGACGTATCGAGCCTAGAGTTTTAACCTCGGCCGAAAACGAATCCCTTATTCGACATTTATCGTCGCTATTATCTATTTCCATCATTGTTGGCCATAGCTTCTTCACGGCAATCACTTCCCCGTTATCCAATTCTGCTCGATAAACCATCCCCGAACACCCTTTGCCGATCACATTGCCATCCACAAGAAGCCTCAACACTTCCTCAACAGAGAAATTCAGTTTTTGGAATGGTATGAATTGCCAAGGCCAAGTATCTCCCATCTCCGAATCCTCGTCTCGAATCATCTTTCGTGCTCGAACCACCGCAATCAACCCCATTACTATCATCATAAATGTCAGGACAATAAGCAATGCAATGGCTAGCTTCAACTTTCGTGATCTCATTGTATCATCACCGTCACTCGTAAGTCCTTCTCTATCTGAATCCGTTACGAAACACGAATCTTTAAGAGACGAACAGAGACCATCGTTGCCAGCTAAGTCGGTCGGTGATAGCTGTCTGAAAAGCTTGTTGTCCGGAAGATAACCAATGAATTCATTGAAAGAAATGTTAAGCAATACAAGATTGTCAAGCCCTGCAAGCGGTTTCAAATCACCTTCAAGACTGTTATGTGAAAGGTCAAGAACAGACAGCTTATTAAGTCCAGACATTTCAAAAGGCAATGAACCAGTCAGCTCATTACAGCTAAGGTTGAGAGCGATCTCGAGCGATACGATCGAACCCAACTCGACCGGTACGTTCCCGGTGAGTTGATTGCTGCTGAGATCAAGTAGTTGGAGATTTGAACAGAGTTTAAGCGATGTGGGAATTGTTCCTGAAAAAGAGTTTCTAGCTAGAATGAGCTTATTCAAAGAAACAAGCTGTCCTAAGCTAGCTGGAATCCGACCAACAAAATTGTTGGATGAGACATCCAACACTTGAAGCTCCGACAGTGAAGACAGTGATTCAGGCAATGAGCCTTTCAGCTCATTGCTGCTTAGATCAATCATTTCCAAAGCTCCACAGCTCCCAATCTCAGCAGGCAATGATCCTGTAAGATGATTTCCTGACAAATCAAGGAAATTCAAGCTCCGTAACGCACCGATCGACGCCGGGATCTCCCCTGTAATCCGATTGTTCCCGAGCCGCATTCGGAGAAGAGAGCTGCAGTTACCAATATCAGGTGGCAATGTACCAGAGATATCATTTGAAATCAACAAAAGATTAGTCAAGTTCTTGAGGTGAAACAATCCAGGAGGAACACTGCCTGTCAATGAATTATGAGACAAGTCAAGAGCTTGAAGATATGAACAATTCGACAAACTCCATGGAATGTTTCCTTCCAGCTGATTCTGCCAGGCAAAGAACACATTCAGATTCCTTAACATCCCCAACTCCGGAGGGATCAAACCAGAAATCTCATTGCTATCAAGCTGCAACTGCGAAAGATTCGTAGCATTCGAAAGATTCGAAGGGATCGAACCCGACACGTTATTGCTACTAATCATGAACTCCTCAAGGAAAGGAAGACCTCCTAATGTTGAAGGAATTGCCCCAGAAAGAAAATTCAAAGAAAGATCAATCTTTTTCAAGCTAAAACAGTCACCAACTTCAGGTGGGATTGTCCCAACTAACTCATTCTGCCATAGAAACAGCTGCTCAAGCTTCTGCAGCTTACCAATCTCCTTTGGTATTGAACCAGAGAGACTATTTTCATAAATAAACATGTTGACAAGCTCAGAACAGTTGCCTAGCTCCGGCGGAATCTCGCCGGAGATCATGGTGGTGTAAATGGATAAAGTTTGAAGCTTTTCAAGTTTGCCTAAAGAATTAGGCAAAGGGCCTGAAATTCTAGTGTCAGCCAACCCCAAAATGGTTAGATTTCTGCAATTTCCGATCTGATATGGGATTTCTCCATTGATATCTCTGTTTCCACCAGCTCTAAGAATCTCAAGATTCCTCATTTTTCCCATATCAGAAGGGATTCCTCCACTCAGTTTATTGTCAAACAAGAGCAAGTTCTTGAGGGACTTACAATTGGTAAGCTCAAATGGGATTTTCCCAGCCAACTGGTTGGAGTTCAAGATCAAATCCTCAAGCTTCTCGAGCTTTCCAATGGTTGTTGGGATTGTTCCGACAAGGTTGTTTGAGCTCAAATCAATGAGTGTGAGCTCAGTGCAATCACCAATGTCGGAAGGAATGGGGCCGGTGAGATTAGCATCAGAAATTACCAGCCTTTGAAGGGAGTGAAAAGAGGAGAGATTTGAAGGGAAAGGGAGATGAAGAGGGATTGAAATGATGTTGATTTGAGTGACAAAGCCTTGAGGAGAACAAGTAATGGAGGTCCAGTTACAGGGCGTTGAGTCACGGACATTCCAATCGGACAAAACAGGGGAAACAGGGGAAGAGGAAGTGTGAAGCCATGAGAGAAGAATTGAAGCTTCTTCATGGGTAGTTGCAGCACAAGAGGAGAGAGAGAAGAAGAAGAAGAAGGGGAAGAAGAGGAATTTGGTGGACATTTGCCTCAAATTCCAAACTTTTCTTCTTGGGTTTGCATAATTTAGGGGTTTCAAAACTCTCTCTCCTTATGGGAATGTGAGTTTTTGAGAGTGTTTGCTCTTCCTTGACATGGACTCCAGCTCAAATAAGAGTGTACAAATGCCTAGGATTTGGTTCTAACCAAATAAAAAGCAAACCCACCAACAAAAACATATTTTAACTCAAAAATAACGTTGTTGGTCTTTTTCAATTGAGTCCTACATTTTTACTAACCTTGCTCAATACGAAAGGAAAAAGAGTTTTCGTTTTGTTAAATGGAGGTTTGTTCTTGTCCTCATAGTGAACAACACCTTGCTCAATACGAAAGGAAAAAGGGTTTTCGTTTTGTTAAATGGAGGTTTGTTCTTGTCCTCATAGTGAACAACACGGGTTTAGTCCACGTTAGATTTGAACCCAACGAGATCGTGTTTTCGATACATGATTCAAATTCATGAGATCGTTAGTGTTGATAGTCTTTCCCTACAAATTATGTATGTGCAAGTTATTATGGATAAGCTACATATGTGCAGACTATACATACCTACAATAGGTACTATGTTTGGATAGACGTGGTTTTGTTAGAGCACATTCAAGACTGATCTAGAGGATTACTCGTGACGATTTGGATAGACGTGGTTTTGTTAGAGCACACTCGTGATAATTTGTCTAATAGGACTGATCTAGAGGATTACTAAAAGAATGTTTGCCTTAAAGACCACAATCGAAGAAGAAATGTTAGAGCACATTCAGGATGACAGGACACCGAAAAAAGCATGGAACATGTTCGGGACACTTTTCTCAAAGAAAAATAATACGAAGTTACAACTTCGAAAGAACCAGCTATTATCAATCTCACAACATGACATGACGATTGCTAAAAAAATTCAATGATACAACTATAAATACGCCACTATAAACTAACGTTTTTCAAACGCTAAATTAGAGTTTTAACCGATACAACTATATAAACTAAATTCATACCCTTAAAATGGACAACTCCAACAAATTTAATTTTTCAACCATGATTGTAGTAGGGATTATAGGGTTCAAATCTTTGAAATTAGGGTTCTAAGGATGAAATTAGAACTTCAAGTTCTTTGTATATTTATATAGATGTGAACAGAAAGTGAGCAACAAGACACAAACCTTAAAAAAAACATATTTAAGTGGACATAATTAATATTAAAAACCAAGTGGTTTAAAACTCCAATGTCTTGAGATCGAAGAAGCTGCATCTCCAGCCACCAGCCACCTGTCTCTGTCACTCTCATATTAATCAGAAAGTAATGAAATAAACAAATATAAAACTTTAGCTTAAAATTTTAAAAAATTATTTCATTTCTGAAAATTTAGTACACAAAAACTTAGATATATAATATATAATATGCTTAAGACTTACTTATTGTCATAAAATGGTTTGCCAGAGATTGGTTCACGCGGCCTCTGCAGAACTCACATGACCAACATCAACAAACCCTACCCTTCTCATCTTGTCTATCGGCTCTACTTTGTTCGGATTTTTTTCTTTTTTTGTGGCAGGATAATGAAGATTTGAACTTCAACCTTACGAGAAAAATGGATGGCCTTAATTAGTCGATGTGGGACTCCTCTCTCAATAATCCTCGACTCTTTTTCTGTAGCTCTCGAACAAAGTACACCCTTTGTGACACTTGAGGATTCTATTGACATGGCTAAGTTAAAGGGCATAGCTCTACTACTCTGTTGCTCTCATGGTTTTACTTTTGGTTTTCTCAAAAGGCTTCATAACAATAGAGATGTATTACTTACTATCGACTATATTTTGTTTGGTTTTTTTTTTTATGACAAAGGAACGATTTAACAGTTGAGCTATGCTTGTATTGGCACTGTTATTTTCATAACGAAAGATATAACAAACAATGATTTTATTGAAAAGAATAAGATTCAAACATGTCTTTTATCAAACCAACATTGTCCGAGAACATTATGGGACTTTCCTTAATCCTAAATTGACAAACTTTGTAGCAATCTTATAGTCTTTTTACCTGTTAGCACATTAACAAATTGTACAATAGAAATCATGATGAAGTGTAATGTGTGTTGTGTCAATAATCATCTTAGCTTGCCTTGAAAGAAACACCTAATTCATACATTTCTTAGCATGTATTTTCACAATACGCATGTGATAGATTAGTAATTAAGCAAAGTTTATCGTTTTTGTGCTTAATCCGTTAAATGTCGTGCATGAATGTCTAGAATTTGGAATTTGAATTTGGCACCTAATAGCCCCGACATTCCTCTGTGACATGGTTACTTACTTCTTAAGAGTGAAAACTATCCCCACAAATCAACACGAATCACGTCTATCTCATTTTTTTTTTTATAAGGCCACCCAACAAAGAATTAATCGAAGCAAAACACACTTAACTATCAAGTTTTTATGATAGAACTTCCAAACAGAAAGGTGCACCGTGTTGATATAGTTAATAACTTTCATTTCCTTTAAATATTTATTAGTCATCCTATCCTCGTTATCGTTCTCTTCCAGATATGGTCTTGATTCATTCATGCACCACACCTTTATTTGGATGTCACACCAAGACATGACCAATGATTATATCTTTAGGATCACTCGTTTGGATGTTGTCTCTATTCCTTCATATATTTTTTCTTTACTCGAATGTCATATTGTTAGAAAACACTCATACAACTAAGAGAGGCAATAAACCAACATCATATTATTCAACTGGTTACAGAATACATATATAGACAGAATAGTCACCTTAACCGTTAGTAACCACCCTTAACCGCTAGTAACCACCTTTAACCGCTACTAACTACTCTTAACTGACATACATTGAAATACAAACAGTAAATTAGATTAATTACGGTTAATACAAGATTAAATAAACTAACACATATGTCCATTAAATTTAATTACTTGTCATAATAATTTCATTGTCCTGCACTGTAATTAAATAAATAAATAAATAAAACAAATTAGTGTATGCACTTAATATTTCAAAAAATAATTAATTAAAGCACACGTAAACATTGGGAATAGATAAGGTTCATATGCATTTGTCACCCACTAGATCTTCTAATATTTTAATTCAATTTTTTTTTTAATTATTTAATCCAAAACTTTATTTATGTGTTGAAGTTGAGAAGAATTAAGACTTTTGGAGGAATCTCTATTATTTAATTATAATACAATAAATTAATAAAATCACCCACCAATTTTCCATTTATTTTAAAAATATTTTTATAATACACTTACAAAAATACCTTTAATACCCTTCAAAAACGAACTTCATAAATATCTTTAAATTTTTTTAAAAATTTAAAAAGTTGTTAGTAAAACGTTTAAAAAATATTTATAAATTTTCAAAAGTAATATTTAAGAGTCGAAATAACCTATGAGGTGTAGATAGACGATTTTCGTCTTTATATTGTCAGTAATAAATTTTTTTAAACTTTTTTTTATAAAGATTATAAGAGTTAATACTATTTCTAAAATTTTATGTATATTTTTTTAAATAAGTAATATTTTTTAATTTTTTTTTTAATTTAACTAAATTTTTTAAAGTTTTAGTGTATTTTTTAAAACAAAATATTAATAATTTTTATTTCAAAATTAATCTTAATCGTTAAGTTAGTAAATTTATAAGAGTACCGATTTTTTATTTGAGTAAAAGTAAAATATTAGTTCATAAAATATCGATTTATTTATTTTTAAATATTTAATTAAAATTTACCGCTCAATTTAAATATAATTTTTTAAAATTACTTATCAAATAGTTAAAGTTTTTTATTTTGATGACGAGAATAAATAATTAAAAAGTAGTTATGAAATTAAATAAATATAAATATATGTATATAAATATGAATTTTTTAAAACTAACAACCAATTCAATTTATTTGAAAATCAACCCAACTCTGATCGGACTTTTCAAGTCATCAGGTTATTGAAACACCTCTAATTCTCCCGAATTAACATTATATTATTACTACGGGAAGGGAATCTAATAGAAAATTCATAAATCAAAAGACAAAAACCTGAATTACAATCGAGAAAGTTACATATATACTAAATTTCTTGAACCGAACAAATTCACTCATTCTCGTTCTCATTAACATCAAACCTAACCCAGAAACCTGAACAGCAATCGAGAAAGTTACGTGTATACTGAATTTCTTAAACCGAACAAATTCACTCATATTTGTTTCAATTAACATCAAACCCAACCCAAAAACCTGAATTACAATCGGGAAAGTTACGTATTTGTTGAACAAGGAAATAAAAAGAGAATCGGGTAAAATAAAATAAATAGAGGTGGGAATCATGTGGATTTGAAAAATTCCTTGAGGGAGCTAATGGGGCTACAATATTAAACAATATGAAAAGAACAAAAAGCAAAAGAAAATAAATATATTAAAAATTAGGGTTAATAAATTATTAGAGTGGTAATGGTAGGTTTGGACAACATGAACATATCCCATATTTTGAGGCCAACCACGTGACCCACACAAAAAAATATTTCAATATAATTGAGGTGTGCCGAATTCAGAATCAGCAACTATGTGACTCGGTATTTCCTGTAACTCCTGCGACACAGTCACGTTACCTACTTCTCACTTTTTAAAACTGAAAACTATCTCCACCGACCAACATGTATTCTCCCAATATGTTTTGTTCTCCCTCACATAAGGAGTTCCTATGATTAAGCCACCAGAAACGAAGGTGAACCTTGTTAGTATAGGTAGTAACTTTCATTTCCTTAATGAACACAGTAGTATACCTCTCATTCCGATTTGGTCTCAGCTCATTCATGAACACAGTAGTAACTTTCCATTATTTTAAGCATTTGGATGTAATCTCGGTTCATTCATATACCTCTCTTTTACTCGAATGTCACAGTGAATAATTTAAAATAAACTTTTTTAATTATAGGGAAAAAAAAATCCAATCATTATTAAGTGGGTTTAATGTATATTACAACAAACACAAAGGCATGAATGATGGACAAGAGTTGGTATGTTTAGGTAATGGGAAAGGAACAAAAATAATTCACTAATAAATATATGATAATGTGTACTTATATTTAATTATATCAAGTAATGGTTAAAATATTATTTTAGTCTCTAAATTTTTATATTTATATTAAATAGATTTTTAATATTTAATATCTAGTT